CTCAGTTGGCTTGTTAGCTCAATTGGTTAGAGCGCTGCACTAGTATCGCAGAGGTCAGTGGTTCGAGTCCCGTACAGGCCTGATTTTTTTCAGGTCTGAATTTCGCTATTGCTCAAATAGCGCTATCTACTGCGAGGATCGTCCATCATACGAATCAAATACCGCAGTTCAAAATATATGATTTTCATATATTTATTCTATCTCATTTATCACTTTCACGGGTTCATTACGAATCAACTTAACGGCCTGCTCTCAGTTGGCTTGTTAGCTCAATTGGTTAGAGCGCTGCACTAGTATCGCAGAGGTCAGTGGTTCGAGTCCCGTACAGGCCTGATTTTTTTCAGGTCTGAATTTCGCTATTGCTTAAATAGCGCTATCTACTGCGAGGATCGTGCATCATACGTATCAAATACCACAGTTCAAAATATATGATTTTCATATATTTATTCCATCTTACTTACAACCGCTAACTTCGATCTCAAAGTTCAACGCAACTCAATCTTCTCTGGAACAATTGTTCTCACCCATGCCATTCTAATCTCACTTGATGATATCTTGCATCAAAAAAACTTCTTTACCTTTAGCAATTTTTTTTTCTTTGCAAAGTGACCTTATTCTCTGATTTTCGGACAGTCCGAGTTACGATCTGACAAACCTCAATTGAACTTAGAGATGGTGAAACTGAAAGGAACATATATTTTTCGAATCAAAACTGAACTCTGAAGAGAAAAGATTCTGAATGAATTATAAAAATTTGGAGAGGAAGGGACGAACAATATGAGTAGCCCTTTTTATAAACCAAGAGGCTAAGTGAGCTAGAACGAAAGCGCTATAAAAAAATTTCAAGCTGGAGATAAAAAAGTATCAATTGTTTACTCTTGTAGCCACCTGAGAAAAATGTTAAACTGCACTGACAATAAAATTTTCCCATAGTGACAGAAGATATCAACTGATATGAAAAGTAAAATGTAAATAGAGAACTGTCAGGGAAGATAAAATAGTTTTTTTCCAATATGCTTAGAAAATCACGATATACGTGTTCACAGTTTTCATCCCAACACCGTGAGTTATTAGTATATTATACGCACACACTTCCGTCGCCATTAATTTCCCGCACAGCTACAAAACTAATTAACAAAGAAAAATGTCAATAATTGCGGCAAGTAACTGAATCATTCCCTTTACTTTCCCTCGCGGAGAGGTTTTTCACAGACTGTAAGAGACTTGTGACGGGTTATGTGGCAATTTACATCATTCCACTTGCCCAACTGGTATTTACCTTCAACTTGACAAAGATAATAGTATTCTGCAAGAAGCGTGCAAACAACATCTAATGGCGGCCTCGTTTGGTATCTTGAGGGAAGTCTCTGAGGCAGCATGGTCTAGGACAAAATCATTACAAAGGCAATTGAGCTCCGAACGCGAAAAACTTCTCGAGAACTGCGATGAATGTACAGCAAAAACAGTTTGGAGAGGAACTCGAAGACAAATGAAGCGATTAGAATTTGACTTGTTGCGTATTGCCCGTCGCAAATTTACAGTGGCGACACCTTACAATCCAGTGCAACAAGCAATATGCCACATCCCTCGACACGAAGAATCGAGTACTAAAGGACGGCGTTTTACCAGAAATGGCCCACTTAGAACTGCATCACACTCTGATCATCAAGCCAGTTCACCGCAAGAAAACGTTGAGAAAATTCCAGATCTACACCCTATTAATTTAACATCTTGTGATCTCTCTGATGCAGAATGTTCCCTTTTGATGAAAGGACCAGCATTTTGCCCGACGTCGAAGGATGTCAACTGACAGAAAACCATTGATGACCTCGATAAATTAATCTTGACAGATTAGTCAAGAGGTTGTCACTTGGGTTGCCAATTTGGAACCAAAACCGGGGGTGGCTTTTGGCAATGTGAAGACTCATAAAGAGGGCAACCCTCTCCGCTTAATTATATCTTGCTGTGGAATGGCAATCGAAAGACTTTCTGCTTTTGCTGAGTTTTATCTTAAGCCTCTTGCCCAAAATCTACCCTCGTTTGTTAAAGATACCACTGATCTTATCAACAAGATCCAAAAGTTTAATTCTGAGAAAGGTCTTTTACTACCCCGGTGTCTGTTGGTCTCCTGGGATGTCGTGGCTATCTTTCCCAATATTGATAATAACTTAGGCATTTTTCAGCTGTTAGCAAAGCTCTTGATTCTCGATCGATCAAATTTCCATCCACCGAATGCATTGTTGAGGCAATCGAAATTTGTCTCGAAGCCAATCATTGTCAATTTTCGGGGAAAAATTTTGTGCAAAAACATGGTACGGCTATGGGCCCCAAAAACGCATGCAGTTATGCCGGCTTGGCTATAGGATTAATCGATGAGAAAGCTAAATTTGGAGGTGGTGTGAAACCATTGTTATAGTGAAGATATAGGGATGACGTTTCGATGTTTGGACACATGGTTTGCCAAAGTTATCAGAGTTTACCGAGTACATCAATTCCCGCTATTCCACTATCAAATTTGGGCTAGTGTACTCTGAGCCCACCCTCAATTTCTTGGATCTCACACTGCACCTTCAAGACGGGTTCATAATTGCTGATATTTATGCTAAGCCTACAGTTCGCACCCGGTACACTATAAAAGGGCAATTCCCTACGGAGTTGCTTTACGCATTAGACGTAACTGTTCTACGGATGAGTTTCTTTACAAGAGATGTGTTGAATACAAAGGGTATCTTAAATCCCAGGGTTATAATGCAGATTTGGTAGACAATCAATTTGACAGAGCGCTGAAAATTGAAAGATCAGTACTCCTCAAGAAGAATGTCAAGTCCAACAAAAAAGTATTTCCGTTAGTCCTCGACTACAATCCTATCCTCCCTGATATTCAGAGGGTTATCCAAAAGCATGCTCATCTCTTAAAATCGTCACCTGAGTTATCGGAAATTTTTCCATCAAAATCGATTTTTCCAGCATATCGCCGTACCAAAAACCTCAAAGACTAA